TCTATCTATCTATCTATCTATCTATCTATCTATCTATCTATCTATCTATCTATCTATCTATCTATCTATCTATCTATCTATCTATCTATCTATGCATCAAAACATAATTTATGACAAAAAAATTTTTATACTAGTGAAGTAAAATCTGCTGGGAATTCAAATACACCTTATGATTGATAACCTTGGCAATGGAGAAGTTCTTTAAATGCAGAGGCAGCTGACCAAGCATTCCAAACTCAAGAAACCAAATACTGCAAGCGGAAGAGGAACCATTCTAGCATGTACAGTAGAGCATGAACCGGAGTAAAAAGATGGGGAAGTTTACGAATCAGTGTTGAGTTTTTCCAGTTAATACAGCTGTAGGGACAACTCTTAAGAAGCGTCTACCCAGCTCAAAGACTACATGCTCAGATCAGATGCAACAAGACCTGGGGTGCTAGATGTTGCAAGTAGGAAGAGATTATTAGAGACTTGGGAATCATAACATAATCAAATATGGCACACTTCTGGACAAACAAAAGTTTTAACGACTGAATCGTTTTGACAATTTAGCCTTCAGAATTGGAATTCCCTCGTCATATGTGTATACTTTTTCACTATATCTGTGAATATATGTGTAAAAACTGTATACTTGCAGTTTTATGGGCCAAACCCTGCTTTTCAAGTTCGAAATTCTTAACAAAAACCTGGGAGCTGGAGTGTTCTATACAAAATATCTTTTGCCTTTCCTACCTTCCACTCACCTTCAAATCAATTCATTTTAACTTCCTCCTTAAACTCTTGGTATTTTTCCAACGTCTTGTGGGCTTTTTCCCCTAATGTTTCTGTCACTTGAAATTGCTGCATCTTTCATTTTCGCCTTTTTCTCTAGTTTTTCAACTACCCCAGTGTTCAGCTGGTTAGCTATCCCCGTTTATTAACCTGGATGTGGAAGTCCAGCAAAATATTTGATCTGTCATTCTCCACCACCTTGGGATTTACCTGCCATAGGATTGATAGGGCTGCTCAATTTGACTCACTTCTTCAGCCTTCAGTCAGTGGTAAAAGCCATGATGATTCCTCCTTTTCTTTACCTCAGTTCCAACTCTCCCTAGATTCCAGCTGCCTTGGAGTTCATCAGCGGTTGCAATCTTCCCGGTGTAATCCCGGATCTTTGTTGTGTCATCATGCATAGTGGCGCTGATGCCTTTCTCTTTTTGCTTACTGTACAGTCTCAGGGTCCTAAACTTGGTGTAAAACCTTTAGTGCATTGAGAAGGAGCTTTCTTGTTTTGCTTTCAGTGGTTCACACTTTGTTCCTCCCTTTCATCTGACTCCTCTGGACCTGCTTTACTCAATGTAGGTACTTGGTGACTTCATTGAAGTTACCCCCACTTCTGTGTCATCCTAATCCATTGAACCATTTGATTACTCATCTTGTTCACTATGATCACTGAAGGGAGCTTATTATACAGGTTATTAACTGGTAGTTGGAAGGAACTGCTCCCTTCTGGTGATCTCTCATGATCACAATTGTCCAGCCACATGTTACGTCATGATTGGGCCAATGCTGCTGGTTGGAGCTCTGTTAGTTTCAGTAGCCAGTAAGTAGCATGTCAGGGCCCGGTACAGTCCAGCTCGACATGCTTCGGTCTATATCTGACACACTATACCAGACCACCTGTGTTCGCATTATGATGCTGGACCGCAAAGGTTAAGCTCTTGGCTGAGTTCTCGTGTCACATGCCAATGTTTTGCTACGCTGCTGGCAAGAAACAAGGACACCCCAAAAACATTCATGCAATCTCTGAAGATTTCAACCTCACATTTCCCTGGTGCAGTTAAACTTTCTAAATGTGTGCCCGCTTGGCTCACTTATTCAATTTGATATAAAAGTTAAAAAGTGGAATATCTATCTTCTATCTGAATATAACAATTCAGATAGAAGCAATATTATATCCTGTTGGGGATAAAGTATTAGAGAAAGTGTTATTAAACTCACCATAATTTAACTTCAATATAAATTGAGGTGCCGCTCAAATTTGAAGGAGTTCAAATGACAGCTTAATATATTTACTGAACTTACTGTTCATCATTGCATGTCATAAATAAATTGTAAGTGACCGATTCCAAATAAAATACAGCGGTCTTCAAGACAAATTTATTATGATGTAACATGTTTACAAAAGAGTTGTGTAATACCATGATAACAGCACGTGAAAAATGTAGCCAAAAATAGTTTTAAAATGGAACAATGTCCAGACAAACAGCATGTAATGGCTCATTTGGGGGCTTTGTCTCGACAAAGATAATATACATTAAATGGCATTGATGTTCATAGGATGTAAAAGTGGCAATATAGAAACTGATCACTTTACAATTTGGAAAAAAATGTCACCATTATTCTTCTTGAAAAACAATATATTTCTACTGTTACACACGGATATCAATATGTTACATGCACAACTGAGGCCCATAGATACAAACTGTCACAGAAATCCAAATGGAATTGTCTGAAACATATTGCATCCTCACATCACAAAGTTGAACTCACAATATCAAATTAACAGAAAAAGATCATTATTAGATGTTATCAGCACCAGTACTGGACATTTGAGTCACAAGGAGTGGATTTTTGTTAACATTTCATCTACATAACTCAGTGGAATGGCACTCTTACTCAAAGTATTATCACACCCTAAACACATTTTTAAAACCGTGGCACTAATCAAACAGTTATTACTAAATATTGATTTTTACAAATGTTTCCTTTGTAATACTTTATTATTACATAAATCGAAATTGTTGTTTGACCACCCTTATTCCCTGAAATGCATTATGAAATCGATTTTATGTATGTTTAATCTCTAAAGTGATTCCTCTAAACCACACGGTGATGGGACTTCAACCAAGTTGCTGTTATAGCGCATACAAATCTGGTCATTGTGCTATTGCATGTTGTATTCTTTCCCAGCTTCATCACTAAGGTTTGAAAACAATTTTGTAAAGGATATGATGGATGGATACAAACGATTGGCTTTAAAAAACAACTTATGGAATCAATTCATGGTCTGTTTGCAAGTTTATGGAGCACCTAAGACAAAAAAAAGCTCCCAAGGAGGTAGAGTTTTCATCTTAAACACATTTTGTATCATTATTTTGATTCCAAATTTGCCATTTAATTTAATCACTCTAATTTAGTCAATTAAAAACAAATTTTATTGGACCAAACTAATATCACCAAATGTAAAAATTGAACATAGCAGGATATGATCATAACTTAATGACTATGCTCATACAGACATTCGCCACATGTAATTTCCACTGTGAAAGATATCAAACGTGAGTATAGGTAGATTCTTGTCAAAGGTGCAATCTTCTGGTTACCTAAATGGTGAATTTTGGAGGTGATGCTTCATTTCAGAAATACTGTGTTTTCACATGTTTCGCCATTTAACAAATGAAACAGAAAAATATGTGAATGAGAACAGGTTTATTGTGATTTCAGATGTAGTACTGGAAATATATACCTCAAAAAGGAAATTATAAAGTTGCAGTACAAAAAAAAAGTACTCACACAAAACTGGAGGGATTTTATTATGAATTTTAGCCTGGTTTTGAGATGCTCACTTTTCAGAGATCACAGTTGTCCATACGTTTACATCTATTTTAAAAGTCTAGTTTTGGTCCAAAATACACAGTTTGTTTTTTTTACATTCTAGTTTCATATAAAGGTGCTTATAGAACAATTTTTTTCTAAGATAATAAGTATCCTATCACTAGGGCCAATTTCAACAACATACACGTAGAGACTTCTTGCAGCTGAAGTACAATAAAGTTAGAATTAAAATGGGGCCTTTGTGCTTTCACTTGATGACCTAGAAGGTATAAAACCATTTATTGTTAGAGCAGTTTCTGCTTCATGTATTATTAAAAGTTAAGAACGTGACATTTTTAATTAACAAAGTCCACTATGAAACTGATATATGTTGTGAAACCCAACTACTCTCAGAATCACTCTTTTCTACAAACAAACAGGACTGATCCCAAACAGAGTACAACACTCCACATAAAACATCTCCAAAAAAGGCCTTTCTCATATTTTAGCTGCCATCGCGCTGGTAGGCCTGGTGGATCATATAAATATACAGATACAATTACAATGCATTGAAATATACAGTTATTTATCTTACAAATATGCAAAGTCGTTTTCATATATGCCATTAAAACATTTTTCGTATCAAATAAACAGAAATATGAGGTCTACACATGCTGTAAAGTCTATGTACAGTAATATAAAATATTAACAGACAAATACATATTTCTATTCAATGCACAGTCCCACAAAAGTTATCTCTTTAACAGGATGTACACTACCACTTTTTTGTGTTTTTTTTGTTTAAATTGTACCTAGCAATTTCAAACAAAAAAAAAATCTGTGGACAATGACATTTGGCAAACTTCTAAATATTTCACCATCATTTAGCAGACAATGCAAATAATAATACTAGAAAACAGTAGGGTTAAACTTCATGGAAAATAATTTTGATCATGGAAGTCAACTGTGAGAAAAGAGGATGCTTGATCGCCCAATAACAAGCTAGATCTTATTCTTATTTGTTGAAGGTTTCTTTTGCATTTGCTATCAGGTTGACTTTCTCTTATGTAAGTGCTGATGTGTTGGCATGCAGAAAGTAACAAAGGTAATGCATTATAAACGGCATTGAAGTCATTTCCACCTCAAACAACCTTCAGAAACTGCTTGAATCCATAATAGTAGCAGGAAGTTGATCAAATTTAAACAATTTAGTAGTTCTGCAATGTTTTGTTTACCCTTTCATATGCAACTGATTTCAAAATAAACAATTTTCTCTCCCTTACGGTGTAGGTTTTTCTCGTTACTGCTAGAGAACAGAAATGTTTCCTTGCCTAAACGTGAATATGGCCAAAACTAAAACAACCGACTGCAGGTTGTTAAGATCAATTCTGGGTAACAGCTTGTCAATGTAATCAAATTCCATCAACCTTGTAAAGAAACAGAACAATGAGACTGAACAGAAAAGTGGATTCCTAGGCCATTTTTACAAGTACGACATTCAACACATAGCTCCAAACTAACATGATTGGCAGTTGGTAGCTTCATTAAAAGCACAGATGTAAACAGCTTGTATCCGATTAATGAGAATGCTTTGTAGATGGTGGGTCATTTAAGGTTTTTAACTGCTGCTGGCTGAGCTTCGCTGTTATAGAGAGGTCTTGCTATCTGTATTATTAAATATCAATGTTGAATATTTTCTGAACATACAATGAAATGTACCATAAAATGTAACAGATGCATACCGATTAAAAATGTAAAAAAGTATCACAATTTAAACGTGGTAATTTGTGTTAATATCAAAGGTAACTTATGTGTTTTGTACAAGCAAGGGTTATTGTCATAATTTTGGCAAGCAAATTAAGTTAGAAGCATTTCGAAGCAGTGACATGGCAGCAAAAAACATTCGCCATCTTTACAAAATCACATTACGACAACTAGAAATGTGTTTGTCCAGTTTAACTGAAGGTAAAACTCCCCGTAGACACAGAACCCTCATGATGTTCTCTTTGAATATTATTGCTTATATCGTAAACTTAAGGTCTTTACTGAAGGAGTGTGGTTACCCTGAATGAACAGTAGCCATCTTTAATGTGACCTTAATGTGACCAAAACCACTTCACATCTAAGCAGAAGCACTGATAGCAAGTTTCAGCTAAAGTAATAATCAAAGATCTGGACTGGCTGTTTAGCTCGCTCTCTACTATGAGAAACCGCACATAGGTTGTTTAAGATGTTGAAAGTAGATCAGATGAAAAGATCTCCTTGGCATTTGTGGACTTTCTTTTCCAGTGATGAATCTTAACTGAAACTGTGAGTGATCAAGCTAACAGAACTTTGACAAAAAGATGAAGGCTTTGAAAACAAAGGCTTGTAAAGCATGCTTTCAGCATCATTCCCTATCAACTTATGGATCTATCAGTATTGTTTTAGACCTCCACAAGAATAGGGGCATCCCTGTGTATCTTCAAGAAACTCTTGAAGGCCCAGCTCTTCAGAGAGCATTTCCTACCCTAACTCTTAGCCTGTACCTCCCCACCCTCTCTACCAATCTTTCTGTACCTCCCACTATCTTTACACTGTCACCAGTGTTGCCTCCGTGGTGACAGTCTGACTAGTGATTTCCTTTTACGAAGCTTATTTTTTGGTTGAGGCTAACTGTAATGTTCCGTCTGCATTGTAAGTCGCTTTGGATAAAAGCGTCTGCTGAATGCAGAACCATAACATAACATAATTCCAAGTTTCAGTTGGCACTTTTCCAATGGTTGCTTTCACGTCTGGGTGTCAGCGAACTACTTGTGTTTAGAAATGTACTGTTATGACAGCATAATGAAGAAAAGGTGGTAATATTGGGTGACATAATCTAATGAAGGTCAGCCACGGGCAAGAAGAAAGTCAGGCAAGAAGAATCAAACAGTCAAAGTATGGAAAAAGAAGTGAAATGCTACTTGGACCAGCTCAGAAAAGGAACTACTCAGATTTATGACAATACAGGTCTTTGAGGGCTTTCAGTTCTTCAATTAGTGTCTTGTTTTGGTTTTCCAGAACGGCCACTCTGTTCTCCAGACACTTAACATACTCTTTCTTCTTTCTGCGACACTCACGGGCTGCTTCTCTGTGGGAAGGACAAGATACAACATAGTTTTCTTTTTTCAGGCTGTCGCTGGGCGTGTCTGGGAGTGGCATTATGTCCCCTGCAGGATGTCAATAAGCTGTGACTAACCTTCCACATTCAACAGTTGTTAGGAATCCCATTAAATAATAATTTTGTTAGTACAACACTTTCTACTGGGTAACAGATGGTCCTCCACATTGCATCAAAAATCATTTTTAGCACTCCAGCCGATGCAACAGCTATTATTTCTGAGTTAAAGACACCTATTAAGATGAACCACCCTTTTCTGTTCGTACCTGTTCTTCATGAGACGGACCTCCCTTTTTCTGGTGACCTCCTCTGTGGCGCCCTGTGTTGGGAGGGCAGGAGAGGAGGCCATGACCACACCAGGGGCGATGGTGCTGGCAGGAGCAGCTCGAATCTGATAGGCCTGTACATCCCCCGAGGCAGCTACATAACAAAGTGGGAAAATGTTTACCAACTGATCAACCAAGTCAATGTGCATTAAGGACATCCCTCTCACCTTGGACCACCACCTGGTTACTGGGAACCAGTATCTGCTGGCCGTCGCTCGTCTGGGCGTACTGGAGTATGGTAGCTCCAGGCTGGGCAGCTGCTGCCGCATTGGTCATTGTTAGAGTCTGAAGGCCCTGGACTCCATCTGTACCATTATTGGCCAACTGAATAGCCCCACCTTGTGTAATTGCAACTATAAGATTAGCGAGACAGATGACAAAGAGGAGAAATGGGGGAAATATAAATAAATATATATCTTTAACATTATTATATTTAAACTGATGGAGCAGTCAAGAGATTATTGTATGTCTACTTTTCTGTCTTTCGATTTGTACCCATCTGACTTGACTGATTCGGATTACATTTCATTGATGACACTTTTAGAAAAGGTGAGACGTTTTGTCTAAAATATCCCAATGTTATGGCTTATTAAAGATAATTTCAGACTGTGTCACATGACCAATTTAAAGCACGTATGGCAATGAATTTAAAGATGAATGATTCATTCAAATTTTTCTTTCTAGCCTCTCAAGAAAAGTTCACTTGGTTTTGATGTTCAAATAATACTATTAGCCTGCACCTCCAAGTACCACTTACTGTACTGTCCACTGCTGGTCTGATAAATGGGTGTGGGGACAGTAACAGTGGTGATGGCGGGTGTGGCTGCAGCAGCAGACGAGTCCTCCTCTGCCTTTTCTTCCTCAATGCGAGGAACAGCAGGCGCATCAGATGAGAGGTCGTTCAAGATTTTCCTGTCGGTACAAAAACTATTAGATTTGCTGAAACTTCAAACTGAATGACAAAGTTCACACAGATTATTGCAATTTAGTTCCATGCCCCATACAGATGAATCTTCGTGGTTTTCAAAGGGTCACGTAGCGTCAGCCATTCCAAAAGACCATATCTGTGCTTTTTTGGTGCACATTATCACAAAAGTGGTTTGATTGGAACATCTGCTAACGTGGCCCTTAAAAAAGCTAAATAAAAGAACATTTACAAAGTTAAAGTAAATTTCCTGTTGCAGCATAACTTCCATAAATTCTGCTTATCTTAAGAGGCTGTTTACAAAACCAATGGAAAAATGAACACACAAAATAAATCAATCATCAATTCACATGAAAAATTTGAGCGATGAACAGCAGGTGGCTCGCGCAAAATGATCTCTGCCTTTGATTAAAAACAGTAAAAATGGAAATTCAATTAATAATGCTCACTCATCTTTCATGGAGATGCAAATGACTGGCCTTTTATTAGCACTTTACAGGTACTTGGTGAGACGGTTATTCTTTTTACATTTGCTTTTTTATTTAAACATTGAATAACCTGATTGTGCTGTCATTTTCACACATATCACCTGTATGAAGGACGCCGTGACAGAATCTCTCTGCGTTTCTGGGAATCAGTTACACTGTCGACTGATTCCTGTGAATCTTCACTCTCTGTTATGGTGGAGATCTGGAATAGACACATAGACAAGACATGTCCTCTCTGTTATGGCTTTGTATGAATATCAAAACAAGACTCAAAAGGTTTTGTTTTTCACCTGTACAGCCTGGACCTGTGGGGACTGGATGACAGACGGCTGTGCAGCTTGGATGACTCCATGGACCTGAACCGTCTGTCCATTGGGAAGCTGTACAAGTGTTACAGTAGGACCTGTTGCTGAGCCATGTCCTGTGGTCATGGATACCTAAAAATGTAGATGTGCTATTAACATGCTGTCCAGCCAGATGCAGTTTAACTTTTGTGCTTAGACACAAAGTAACATCAGGTGTTACCTGTGCCAAAGTGGCGATCTGTGCTGGAGTTATCTGCTGGCTCTCTGCCTCATTTACAGCAGTGTCCGTCGCCTGCTGAGCCTCTGTTGCTGACTCCATCTTCATTGGCTGAGGTGAGGATGGATATTCAAACCATCATAAAACAGATAGAGCACTTTGTAACCAAAAAGTAAAGATATCCTGAAAGCTCAATAAACCAACAAAATCTTTAAGGTTCCCAACCAAACACGAATAACAAAATGATTCAATTAATTAAGCTGTCGTAAAGGTGAATGTCTGTGGAATTTGAAAATAGGTCATACTCTCGGAATTATAAATACCTAATAGACTGAAAATTTTACAATGCACTTTTCTTTTTTTTAAAATACTAGGTGTTTCTGATTGGAAGTCTGACAAATCTGTATATCACTGAGAAGATTACATTTCACTCCGATTGGGTTATAGGAAGATTGCTGTATCTTCATTCAGCCCTGTGTCTCTTTATTGGCGGGTGGTTTGTGACAATTATCGCTGGAATTCCACATCCATTCATTTTTTCTCTAATTGGTAGTTGAAGCATCACACTGCTTTGTCATCATAATTTTAAAGCATTAAGAAAAACTACAACACTGTAAAAGTGAGTGAAAGAAAAGTCCATTTTATTAGAAAGACAGAGGGCTTCTGTCTGTTTCACTCTTTATTCAAATACAGTTGAGTCCGATTCAATATGATTTATCAGTGCCAAGTAACAACAATTGTCCTCTAAAGATACAAGCCAATTACAATGCAATTTGGTAAAATATAATCATAATTCAATTTAATCAAATTTATTATAATTCCAAATTTGTCTGATTTGTTCATAATTAATAAAATACAAGTTGCAATGCAAGGGAAACCAACAGATTGCTTCAAAACATGACATGACACAATAGTCTTGTATCATGTCTAACATGAAGAAATCTCTGGGAGAATCCATCTGACCAAATGGGGTTTTAGAGTGATTATGTTGACTGACCATGCTGTAGGGCAATATTAAAAAGAACAATCAACCCTCACAATAATAAAAAAAAAAAAATTGTTTAAAACATGTGCTTTAGGGGGGATTACATTTTTCTCGGTGACAAACTGAACTTTCCGTGGGAAACAATCCGCAAATGAGAGCAGAGGAGTGCAGATGTGATCAGTCTCCGGGCGGTGCAGGAGCGTTGATCTGAATCGTGTTGCTCAGTGATCTCACACTGTGCGTAGCGTCTTTCCGCAGCATGATTGGCTTTACACATTTCTCCCTCTGCTTTTCAAAAATCACTTGGATGCTCCGTGTGTGACAGCCGAGCCACATGGTCGGGAAACGCCCCCCTTTCGCTCACAGGTCACAATCCTCGCAGATCCCTATCTGGGCTGATATATTGTTCTAAAAAGTCGACAACCTCCAGCTAACGAATTCAATTAAAGAAAAAACCCACGGCGGTCTGAGTGGTATATCGACAATAAATGGGTAAAAAAATAACAACATTGTGTTTGGCTAGACTGAAGCACTATATGAAAAAGTACATGTATTGGGGAAAGTTATGTATATAAATAAAAATGTCGCGTGGAAACCTCTCACTGCGCCTACCAAGAGGAAAACGGCGCAATTTTTTAGCGTTTATAAAGCCCTTGCGTGTTGCAGAATTATTTGACAACCCAAGATAATTCGTAAGGCTGTAGTCAAATGACTGTTTCTAATGTATTAAGACGAATATGTGCATCACCAAAGCCCCACATTGCTCAGTTTCACTCCAAACAGCCGCAGCCTCCCCTCCCTCCACCCTGCTACAAACACCGCGGCGCCATGATCTCTTTGTTTCCTTCGTGCCGAACCTGACCAACCCCGTCACTTTCTCCGGCCCCCTCCCGTGTCTCTGAACCCCGGACATCCCTTCGTCCTTACCGATACTGACTTCTTTTGTCACTCCCGGGCCTTTGGAGCTCCACTTTTATTCTGGCCGACACGTAAGAGCCCGCGTCAGGCTACACCTCCGCCGCGTCACCGGGAACAACAACACGGAGATTGGAGAAGGACGAGAAGGCAGACGGCGACGCTGACCGGAAATGAACGAAGTGCTAACGGAGGAGCCCGGAAAATGCCGAAGAGAAGCGGCTCCAGACGACAGTCTTCCCACGTCAATTTAGCGTTGGCAAAATTGTACGATGCGCAGTGTATAATGGATTTTGGCTTCCTAAGACCCAAACTTTTATTTGGTGTGCATTTATTTGCTTTTTCAAGATATATGGGATTGGAAGGACCTAATAAGTTTAATAATTAGACTTTGTCATGGGTCGTAGTTTTTCTTCGTATAGGATCAGTGGGTTTGCCTTTCTATTTAAAGTGTTTGTTTATATATTTTATTAAATGTTTTTGCAAGTTGGTTCTGTCGGTCCAAATGACGTATTTACAAAATTTTAATTACGAATTAAGAACATTGTTGGTTGAAAATTGATAAAACTATTTTACTTTAGATTTCAAACAGTAGTGTCTGTTAACGTGCAGTATGAAGTCAAGAGGTCACAGCCAGAAAAAAAGTAATCTGGTAAAGACAGGCAAAAAATGCAATGTCCTCATATGAAGACGCAGTGTCTAAGGAGGGTCTGAGAACGATGACAACAATGACACCATCCCTGAGACACCCTATCCCGTCAGCCCACTAGCCCAGTGCTCAAGTTGTTGTACATTCTGATTCATGAAAGAAATAATTGGATGCCATATCCTTCTGAAGTCTTCCAATCTACCACTAAGAGAGACGCACACCTTTTGTGGTGTAATGTATCAGTCAGTGGTGTTAACTATGCTTTGAAAGAAGCTATCTCAGTTTTTTTTCTCCAATGGACAAGGACAAGTTTTTTCCCACGTAGGAGACCATAGGATAGACGGTGATGCTGCATATTATGTGGGTTCCCCATGCTTTCTGATGTTCCTAGTATAACCAAGAGTGGATCTGGTCATAAGAAAGTCTTGTAGACCTTTGAGAAAAATGAAAACACTGTTGTCCGTAAATGTTCAATTTTTGGCACAGTGTGAAACTATAAGGTACTACTTGGTTACATTTTTCACAGATGGGTGATATTTCTGGGAATGTTCTAATCAATAATAATTCATGCAGTCATGCAGCCTATGTAGACTTTTAAACTGGATCAGGCAGTGTCTGTCATGCAGAGAACAAGTGTTGATATAACTCGAGCTTTCCCTCCATAAATCCTCCGCTATCCCCTAATTCTTTTTCCCAGCTCCCCTTTATGTGTTCCATGTTCACCTGGTCTAGCCCTTGAAATTAATTCCATATAACTGAAACTGCATTCCTCTCCATTGTGATAGTCCTGATGTGTCCTTATAAAATATCAGATTTGGAGATATCTAAAAAAAATCCCTTTTGGGCAGACGATATTTATCTTGCAGCTGTTGAAATTATGCAAATGAACCAATACAGTACAGATCACCTACTGTGCAGTCCAAGTTCTTTCCATCTATCAAAGCCTCTACCTACAATAGGAGAGGTGAATGATGGATTTGCTTATATTGGGAGTATAAAGGATAGCCTCCTGAGTTGTTCAAAATCTTTATTTTCAGTCCTTATAAGATTGATGGTGCTGCTTTAGTTTACATAAACATGTAAAACAATGAAGGCTTCCTAAGTGACATACATTCTACCCAATATGCATTTGGCCAAAAAAAGAATATTAAAAAAAAGAAGCTCAGATGTAGATCTAGTGTGCAAAGTTTGTTTTAGCAAAGTTAAATATTTCTACTTCTTGTTGGAACATATTTGAAGATGACCATAGTAAAATTCTGTTGTGATGCAGCCATTCTCATTATGACCACAAGAGGGGAGGATGAGATCAGAAATATTTTAAAAGATTTAGGAACTGCAGTTTTTTTTCTGCCAGCTGCAAAGCAAAAGGTTTCTCAATAAATTATACCTTACAAAGGTTTTTAGTAGATTAACCAAAAGGAAGTCAACAGAATTTCCCAAAAGTAATCACGATGTGCTTATTTTATTTTTGCATCTATGTCAATGTGGAGAGTAATTGTGTTAATTTAGTTTTAATTTTGAGTTTAATTTAGGGCATTTCTTCAAAGCATGTAAGACTTTCTTAGATCCTGCTAAGGTATAATACAAACACAGTGCTTACATTTACATTGGTTTAATGATTATTGATAATTTTGAAAGAAATGCATTAGGAAATTCATACAGAATATAAACTCTATACTCTATAAACTCTATATAAAGGCTCTAAAACAAAACAGAAGGAAAAATGCAGGAAGGAGTAAAGGTAAATAGTAGAACCAGACCAGTTTAAGTGAGGGTCAGAGGATAAGAGTTCACTTTGGCAGCATCTAATCAAAAGTAAGCTTGCACTATGGTGTGTGTCCAAGTTAGTAAAGTCGGGTCAGTTTAGGTTTTCATTGGCTAATAGAAAATATGAATGTTGACGTTGAAATGTATATTTAAAAAAACACCAAATGTACTCTAAATAAGATTAATTATTATTATTATTAAATAGTTTTTAGTCACTTCTTATCTCATATGAGATATGGCAACTTGAAAACCACATTACCATGGACAGGTTTTACAGACTGCTTATTTGTTCTGGATGTATTTTTTCAGAATGGACTTTTTTGTCCTTAAAATGCTTTTCTTAATTTTTAAAGAGCCCACTGCACACCATGCTGATATTTACCAAATTTTAATCTAACAGCTTTATGGTTATTACATCGTTGATGAAAAATACAAATCTTCAGGCTACCTGTCCTTTTTTTAAATCCCACATGGTGGAACTATAGAGCTTTGTAAACTCTATCATCATGTGCTCAGCAGTGTTCTCCCCTTCCTCCTTTGCAGCCATGAAAACAAGAGCTGCTAGAGTGTCATCATAACATGCAGTTTATCAAGGCAATTCCTTTTTATAATCCTCTTGATGCTCATTGCTGGTGTTTTATCTGCTTAATAGCATTGTATTGTCAGATGCAATAAAAATCAGCCTTTTTATGGTGACACCAAACACATTGTGTGGAGAATTGAGCCTCTCTGGGTAATGACCAGCAATAAATTTGTTGTCAGTCAGAAAAAAAGGAAAGATGAGTGGTTAAAATGGATGGCAATTTGAACCCAAAAAGGAGAGCTGCAATATTTTATCAGAGGGAGGGGGGAAGATCCCCCACAGAAGGCACACCAGAGTTTAATGGAATTACCTTTGCTTTATTGTGATATAAAATTCAGAATTAATTTTATAATACGGTGTTAAAAAAACAAAGTTAAATGCTTCTGTGATTTGAAATACACACTGTTTGAACAATGCTGCAATATGAAACTAAAAGTTATATAAATAAACAGAAATCGAGATAATCCGAATGCATGCTCAGGTGAATATAACGGTTTTACCATTCCGTATCATGCTTATTTATATACAACTTTAAAAACAAGATGTAGTTAACAAAAGTTTAGGTTTATGCATTTGGCAGACACTTTTATCCAAAGCGACTTACAGAGTAAAGAGGACCAAATAGCTTATTTCAATACAATATATGCTCCAGGTGAGGTTTGAACTCACAACCTCGGCATAGCTCACAGAACACTGTCTTATAAGTACCGTGCGCTGACCGATTGCGCCACTGGAGCGTCCTACACATCAGTTAAAACAAGTGTATCATGAAAAATCAAGAACAGAGTGTGCAAAAGGCTATTATTTTGAGGGTGTCTGTGGTGAAAGACCCTGTCACCCCCCCACGAGGCCCTTAACAATACAACTTCTGGACACACTCGTGGACATGTTCCCCTTTATTCTTCTTTTATGCCTGAACGCTTCTGTGGAGACCTTTGTTGGATTTGCCTTTGGCTTTAGCTGTCCTTCATTTTCGACTGTGCATTTTCTATTGGACAGCTTTGAGTGTTAAGTGAATGCACAAAGTGAGTATTGTTTATGTTGCACTTTTAAAATTTCAGTTACTAATGATGTTATCATTAACTTCATGTGCATTTATTACTGACAAGTACTTGATGTCTGGTGTTAAAACTGGGTTATGAGTATAATGTGAATTTGTATTGTAGCTACTACGATCACAACAGGATTTCCAGTCCACCTTAAAGGAATCACATGAGGCACAGAAGGAGATGAGTGAGCTAATAGATGTAACTGGCTCATAGAGGGAGGATATGAAGCTGCCCACTGGCACATACTCAGGTCACAGCAGTTATCGACCTTTTGGAGCCAGTGCTACAACCTCTTGGCGCTGTCCTTGTCCCAATCATCCAGAGGAAGAGGAGGAAGAGTTGTGGCCTGATCCACCACCATAGTCTGCACCTGAGGAAGACTGGCCTTGAGATATAAGGGATGTGAATGTGATAGAACAAGATACCCTTTAATATTGACCCTCCTTGTAGCGCCTAGAATGGAGCTTGGTCAACGTCGAAGCCCCCTATGCTGGCCTTACATTATCCAATCCTCAGTTTCCACATCCTACCCTTCTTCCCAGATCCTTCTTTCTCAGTCACCCTCTTAATAAGCTTCTGCTTATGTAGGCGCAAGACCCCCTTTCTCATAAGGAACCATACTCAGCTTACTCCTGCTGACTCACCCAGTTTAGGCTCATGGTACCGATTTAGTGTATCAGGGCCCCAAACCAACTTGCCTGAGTTCAGCTAGCCTGAGTCCAGCGAGGGATGTTAATGTGGTAGAACAAGATACCCTTTAATATTGACCCTCCTTGTAGTGCCTAGAATTCAGCTTGGTCAACGTCGAAGCCCCCTATGCTGGCCTTACCTTACCCAATCCTCAGTTTCCACATCCTACCCCTCTTCTCAGATCCTTCCTTCTCAGTCACTGTCTTAATAAGCTCCTGCTTATGTAGGCACAAAACCCCCTTTCTCACAAGGAACCATACTCAGTTTACTCCTGCTGACTCACCCTGCTTAGGCTCATGGTACCGATTTAGTGTATCGGGGTCCCAAACCAACCTGCCCGAGTTCAGTTAGCCTTACTCCAGCGAGATTGCCAAACCACACCTGGCCTTACAGAATATCCTCCCTTCAGACTCAACAGAACTTTTCAGGTACCAAATTTTGGTAGTTCAATGGAACCTAGAAAACGCTAAGCTAATTCTTGACGCTTATTTCAATTCACCAGCCCCCTACACGGACTCCATGACAGCTCTGTATGACAGGTTTGGTCAGTCACATCAGATAGATCTGAGGAAGATAGCCAGCATATCATAAGATCCTAAAAAATCTGACATAGAGATTCTGCAGCATCTCAGAGAGTCTCTCTCCAGATCCAATCTTTTGTAGGGTTGTTGAACATGTAGCTTAAGGAATGTTGACGCCTTGTCTGGAATCA